GAGGTGGTTGCATGTGTTGGGAATTTTCTGAGTGCAGGTTGTAGTTCAAAAATGGTGAAGAACATGATGCCCTCTATCATCAAATAGTTGATCCATTTTAAAGGGTCGAGCCCTTGGAGGGCCGCGTGACAGAGGGGGATCTCTGGAATCAAAGGACTGAGCCATTTTAAAGGGTTGGATGCCTTTCAAACGGCTGAGCCCTTTGGAGGCCACGTGACAGGGAGGATCCTTGGAGGCAAAGTGCTGAGCACTTTGGGAGGCATTGAGCGGTTTGGTGCTTTTTGAATTAGACTTTGTTGTCTTCATGAAAGTTTTAGCCTTGGATGTTAGCTTTCCAATGGTGCTGGAATCACCCAAAAAGGAGATTTATAACTCCATTTATGGCGTTTTTAGTGAGTAAAGGTCAAGCTATCAGGATTAAGGCTATCTATTGCGGTTTTTACATTTTTTAACAAGGTAGATGATGGAATTAAGACTTGATGTTTTCATGAGAATTGTAGGAAATCTTCTTATCTTTTATATGAGATAAGGATAAGTAGGATAGGAGTAGTATAACTTCATATATGTTGTTTTAAGTGAAGGATTCCATTTCACAAAAAGTGATTTGGTTAAGTTGAAAGTTGTTTTGGGTGCTTAAGTTGATTTATGTTGTTTATTTGTGTAAGTTGGCATGATAGATGAATTTTTAAACATGTTGGTTGAGTTGCATTATGTGTTGAATATGTTGTATGTTGTTGAAGTTGTTTACGAGTTCTGTGTTGATCTATTATATGTCGGATAGATGATATTGTTGATGATATTGTGATATAAGTTGTTTATGTTGTAAATTTGTTTCAATCGTTTATGAAAGATGATTAATACTATTGAATTTGTTTATAAGGTTGTAAAGTTGCTAAGTTGCCTAATGAAGATGAGTTGAGTACTTGTTGGCTTAAGTTGTTTATATGTTGTGTATTTGATGAAACTAAGTTGTTTACATGTTGTCTATTGTTGAATTATTAATAAGTTGAGATGTATAAGTTGAAGTAGTTTATTGTTGTAAAGTTATTAAGTTGCATTGAGTTGGTTTAAACTTATCAAGATAACTATTGTTGTAAAGCTGAATGAAGGATGTCTATAGTTGTGAAGTCGTAAAGTTGATATTGTGTAACTATAGTTTCTCAAGTTGTTTATTCAAGTTGATATTATGATGCATATTGTTGTAAATATGCTTATTGTTGTAAAGTTGTAAAGTTGTAAAGTTGGGGACATATGGTGAAGATATATGTCCTATGTTGAGATACATAGTACTGAGGTGATAAGTTAAAAGTTTTTTTTTTTTTTTTAAAGTTGAATCCCTTAGTACTGTGTGGGCGACATGAAGGTAGTCGATCCATGTTATGGTTGAATGACTAATTTGAATAATGTATCTAGTTAAAGATATAGTCTTTGACTAGGTACTAGAGGGTGTGTGGTACTTAGAGGGTAGTGGGTGGGCTAACTCCATATGCGGATTGGTGATGCAAGCCAAAGTCGTGGTAGGCCCATACCTAAACTCTTCTACCTTGACAGTAGTATTGGACCTCCGAGTCTGAGTAGCACACTTGAGTAATCAACTATTATTGTTTATACCTGGTTCTCTTCGGAGTTCCTAACGATGTCCTATACTTGACCTGACTGAGATAGGTCTAACGCTGGATTCGGTAGGGTTTATGTCACCTAGATTGCATAACCTCAGTTGTTGGAGATCTTCTAGTTGTATATACGTGACGACGCATTAGTTGATGTTGCATTCAAGTTGCATATAATGTTATATGAATAAGTTGATAGTTGAGCTATTGTGATAAAAAAAAATTGTGTGGTTGTGTTGTGATGATGAGTTGTTGATCACTAGGACTAGAGGAGAAGTTTTCGAAGTTACTCATCCCATTGTGGAGGTTGAGATAATTGTGGTGCTTTGAGAGTCTAGTTTGTTGAAAAATCATCCTTGAAAAGTTGTCCCTTAGAGTGGATGATGTGTTGTTCTCCTCTAGGACTTAGTTGGTCCTGTGTGTGGGCAAGGTCGAGGCACACATGTATGAAGACCACGGTATAAGAGCCCGGTTGAGCTATACCGATTATAAGCGACCAATTTGAGTAAAGCACGATTTGTTGAAAATGTTATTGCTATTAGATGGTGTTGTATACCTATTGTTGTATGTATTGTTGTTGCTTCAAGTTGCAAGTTGAATTTTATTGTTGTTTATTATATGTTGACGCTGTTTTTTATGATTATTGTTGTGAGTTTACCCTAACATGTTTTCCCTTTGTGGTTGGGGCTATGATGACCATACCTTGGTATGCGAGTAGATCAGGATTAGGTGTTTTGCTGGACTGGGTGAACTTCTTTTTGATTGAGACTCAGGAGGAGAGTTGATATTTTATTTAGTTGATTGATAAAATTTGACTACCTAGTTGTTGTATAGGATATTATGTCATACTTTTAGTTATGTATATAATATGGAATTTTTTTTGTAGTATATTCTCATTGTATATATAATTATTTAATAGTGATATTTTATTTTATACATATATTTAGACGTTATAAACAATGTGAAATCTTACTGTCGATATAGACCAAAAATATATTATACTTGATTTCTTTATTTGATTCATGTGAATTTTTAAATTAAAAATCAAACTAATCTACACTCTAAGTATTAGGCCGAAAACTGAATTAAACTACACCGAGAACATCATTGTATATATGTTCATGATTGCATATTTTATATTTGTATTCAATTTTGTATTTATGCATATAGAAACTTTAATTATCATCTTTGTACATATGTTCGTACTCGTTAGGAATTTATATATTCGTATCCATTTTTGCTATTCACTAGGAATTTATATATTCATGTTTATATTTGCTACTTGTACTTTAAGTATAAAATAAATTAAATGATATTAACTAAAATAATTGCTATAACTGAAATGAAAAATCATTTTTAAATTATCCAAATATATTAATAATATTAAGAGCATGATCATTTAGCATAATAATCGTAAATGTAAATTCTTCAAGAATAACTAAGTTTTAAACTTAAATGTCATGCTTCATACTCATGTGAAAATAAATATTCTATCAATCTCGATATATTAAATTAACAAGTTTTCCACACATTTTACAAGTATTTTTTTAAATTGAAATAATTTTTCTAAATAAAAAAATTAAACGAACATTGCATAGTTATTTTCAAATATAAATAAAATATATAAATTAAAACTTAATTATTTTTATCCATGCATTAAAACTTAATTAGATTCATAAATACTTTATTCTTAATAATAAACATTATTATATTAAATAAGAATAAATTAAAATAATAAAATTTTATGAATGTTAAATTATTAATATTAGACCATTTTCAATCAGAAGTTTTTGAGTTCTTAATATAAGGACTCATTGTTATTTATTTTTTTCATGATTAGAGTGCAATGATTTGACTGTCACATATAGAACTGGTTCTCATATAAGAATTGACAGAGACAAATCTTGCAGGGGGAAAAAAATTCATTGTAAAACCCACGAAAAAGCAATTAAGAACTTAAGTTAAGTATTTTTTATTAAAAAAATAGAAATAAGTTTTTATATCCTATGATATAAAAATTCTATAAAAAAAATATATTAAAAACGCAAAATGAAAAGTCCATAAAAGAAAGTACATTAAAAACACAAAATAAATTCAAATATCAAACATGTTTTTATAATATTAAAATACACATAATATTGAGAATATTGCTGCATCATTGAATTTTACGGATAAATTTCTAAAAACAACACAATTCCATTGAGAATATTGTTACATCATTGATTGAATTTTACGGTTTTTTTTTATTTTTTTTTTATTTTTTAGAAATAGTTGGGTAGAATTCCCCACCTAAATCAACTTGAGATATTTGAGTTATTTGTGAGATTATCCTGACTCAAAAGTAATTTGGTGGGATAATGTTTTGGACTGCTGCCATGCAAATAACAGGAAACGTGTGAGAAGCATTTAATGCTTTCTTCTTTTTGCCGACACTTTATATCTGACATCCATCAACAAACATGGAATTAGGAATCTCATCAATGACAAAAAGATGAATCACAACCCTAGGTAGTGCCAGGATCTGGACAGTTAGATCTAAGATCTTCTCAACCTTCCTACTTAAATTTTGACTAAAACACTAAATTAGCTTCCAAGATTATGATTATTGGTTAAGTGTATGTTTAATTAAAATTTTAAACATGATAAATCATGTCAAAATAAAAGCTATCCGTTATAATTTTTACATTTTAAATATGATTTTTGTTTTAAATCATGTTTTGAATGTATTACCAAACACGCATTAATATTATCTCTTAATTTATAAAAAACACTAATATTATCTCTTAATTTATAAAAAAGTATTATTTTAGTCTCAAATTATTTAATTATCATTTCAGCTTAAACGACATTCATCTTACTACTTGCAATCCTAATTATAAAGATTTAAATCATTGAATTTTGTCGATTTCATTAAAATAACATTTTTATATTCTGAAGGAGTTAAATAACTATTACTTGTAACTTAAGGGACTAATGTATTATTTTTTTTTAAAAAAAATAATAGTGTCTTCAATCATACACTCTACAACTAAGAAAATTAACACCGTAATTGTAGCTCTTCCATTATTGTATTTCTTAATGATTAGAGAGAATTAGCACACTCTACCATTTATTCTGTTACCCATTTCAGAAAACCTGCACTAGAATTCAATACGGTGAGCCATTTTTCAGACTCAACTCTCCATTTATAACTAAATCAATATCTTCATTCATAATAATAGCTCTAGGATTTTTGTAATCTTTCTTCAGTAGGTGCAAAGTTTTATTAGGTTATTGTCACTTTATATCGTTGTTTCTTTCACAGCGATACAAGCCACCAAACTAACCATCTGTTTTGTGCCAAAGTTACTACTGCATGCCAAAAAAATATCATACTTCAGACCAGCAGCATTCAAACATACCAATCTTTCCTACTGATCCAAATGAATAACTAAAAAATCAGTTTCATACTTGGCATTGCCCATTTCACAAGGCTATAAGAGGAAAGCAAAGTTGCAACTCTCCATTTCCAAAACTCAATTAGGTGTCTACTAGCTATCTGCCACTATTAAACAATTTCTATTTATGATCTCCACAGACAATGAAGTCAGTCACTATGATGTCTGACAAATCCACCAGAACAAATGTTGTCAGTTGATGATCCAGCTGGTGAGATCAAGCCATGTGTTAATATGACTGTAGTATCCTTACAACATGTAGAAACATAAAAATAAAATTCTCTCATTACTTTATTATATTTTGCATTCTGATCAGTCATTTTTTCTTCTCTTCCAGTCAAAACTGCTGAGTCAAGAAGAAAGCGAGCTTTTGGAGATGACATCAAAGGATATTCCATTTTGTTGAAGTCTTTCCTGGAGATCAGTTGCACCAAATACAATCCCTGGAGGGTAAACTCCTCCCTTTGGTAGATTGTTTCTCTGGCTGAGAAGAACGAGAGCACACTGAACCAGAATAATCGGGGTGGTCACATAACCCATTTCAGGTCCCATTACTCTCGTTATAATTTCCATGTCAGGTTTTGTGTTCCCCTGCGCCGCAAGACTCTCATCGCTGAAACCACGTCCAACAAACCACATCTTGAACGAAGCACTCGCGATCTCCTCTTCAGAAGGGCCACTCTTACTGAACCCACCAAGGGTAAAAATCGAAGGATATCTCAAAAGAAGCCATCTTCCAAAAGAGGTTCTTCCTAAAAGACCAATGATCATTCCAATAAAAATAAACCCAAACATGTGCAACAAAGATTTTGAGCCTAATTTCACACCAAAATGAGCTGGCTTCACAGATGCCCAAAAGGCTTTCCTTTTTTCAACCATCTCAGCACTCTCATTCACCCCAGGAAGACCATCAGGGGATTCAGTTACAATTGAAAGTGTTCTTCCAACAAGAGTTGCATCTGCTGAAGGGAGTGTTACCCCCCAAAGACCAATTTTCTTCTGGTGTTCTATTATTTCCCCTTTAGGTGGGGGCCCAGGAATCTGCAACCATACATGAATAATAAAATTTGGCAAAATCATATAGAATACTAACAAAATTTTTTTACACCAAGAACTAATCTTATCTCTTAAGAGTATCATGTTAATTTTTTATTTAATAAAATAAAAATAAAATAAAATAATTTAAAAGATATGATTTATCCTACATTATTTTTTTCCAAAGTGTATATAGATGAAATAACATTTATGAAACCTAATTTTAGGATTATAAACCCAATTTGATGTATTATGATACCTTAGGTTTCACTCTATCGATTCTAGATTGTCCCATCTCCTTCAAATCCTTCACAGCCATAACCGCAGACTCAAACGTCCCGAAGTTTCCCACGATCCTCCTCTCCGACTCCAAGCCCAAGTAAGCCTCCACCCTGTTGGGCCGGGCCGGGCCCACCCACTCCATTTTGTTGAAGTCTTTCCTGGAGATCAGTTGCACCAAATACAATCCCTGGAGGGTAAACTCCTCCCTTTGGTAGATTGTTTCTCTGGCTGAGAAGAACGAGAGCACACTGAACCAGAATAATCGGGGTGGTCACATAACCCATTTCAGGTCCCATTACTCTCGTTATAATTTCCATGTCAGGTTTTGTGTTCCCCTGCGCCGCAAGACTCTCATCGCTGAAACCACGTCCAACAAACCACATCTTGAACGAAGCACTCGCGATCTCCTCTTCAGAAGGGCCACTCTTACTGAACCCACCAAGGGTAAAAATCGAAGGATATCTCAAAAGAAGCCATCTTCCAAAAGAGGTTCTTCCTAAAAGACCAATGATCATTCCAATAAAAATAAACCCAAACATGTGCAACAAAGATTTTGAGCCTAATTTCACACCAAAATGAGCTGGCTTCACAGATGCCCAAAAGGCTTTCCTTTTTTCAACCATCTCAGCACTCTCATTCACCCCAGGAAGACCATCAGGGGATTCAGTTACAATTGAAAGTGTTCTTCCAACAAGAGTTGCATCTGCTGAAGGGAGTGTTACCCCCCAAAGACCAATTTTCTTCTGGTGTTCTATTATTTCCCCTTTAGGTGGGGGCCCAGGAATCTGCAACCATACATGAATAATAAAATTTGGCAAAATCATATAGAATACTAACAAAATTTTTTTACACCAAGAACTAATCTTATCTCTTAAGAGTATCATGTTAATTTTTTATTTAATAAAATAAAAATAAAATAAAATAATTTAAAAGATATGATTTATCCTACATTATTTTTTTCCAAAGTGTATATAGATGAAATAACATTTATGAAACCTAATTTTAGGATTATAAACCCAATTTGATGTATTATGATACCTTAGGTTTCACTCTATCGATTCTAGATTGTCCCATCTCCTTCAAATCCTTCACAGCCATAACCGCAGACTCAAACGTCCCGAAGTTTCCCACGATCCTCCTCTCCGACTCCAAGCCCAAGTAAGCCTCCACCCTGTTGGGCCGGGCCGGGCCCACCCACTGCCTCGAGTGAAACAGAAAGCCCATCTCGGCGGGAACGGAGTCGAACCCGCACGCGGAGACCAACAAGGCGCCACTCGCCACCGCCCGCGCGTGGTGCTCGCGCTCCACGCGCTCCATGAACTCGGTCTCGCCGGTGATGTCCAGGTAGTCGCAGCCGCTCTCCGCGC